GGGAATCAAGGTCTCATCAATATTCGTACTCAAATGAGAGACTGAACCACATGATTGAGAATCATGTATAATGATGACGTCGTTATTCTCAAGGTTGCTTCTATGGATAACATATAGATATTCATTGTCTAGGTCTATTACTCAGCCATTTATGAAATGAATTTTGAAGAGGTATCATCACTGATGATCAAGTTGATTGGCTCTAGTGCAAGTGGGAGATTGTTGGAAATGTGCCCTAAAACCAATCATATGATGATACTTTATGGACATTTCACATGTTAAACTAATCTAGTTTAATATAAAGATTATTGTTTGAAGCCGTCATGTATAAATGTTATATGCTTAAACGATAAGTCCAAGGAATATGTAATTGGGGGAATGTGTTCTAAAGAAGTTAGATTCATGAGACCATTGTCTTTCGTATACATATCCTAAACGTTCTTGATCATAGGATTGCCAATTGGGCATTGACAGTCCGTTAAGATCAGTACGTGTTATGTCTTCTCTTAGGGAGAGTGACTGGTCTCAAGTCATTGGTGTGACTAACACCAAGACAAGCATGTAGGTGCTTAATACAGAATGAGACCACTGAACACAATCAAATGGAGTTCTCATACTCATGTCACATGAGAACTCATAGTTGGGATAATGCAAAGTAGTCATTTGACCTAAGGCATCATAGTTGTCTTGTGGTTAGGTCCTTGATCTTTGACTATGTCAAAGTCACTCAATCAGAGGGTGTCCACGACATAGTTGGGGTTAAGCCACTTAGCCATAGAGGCAAGTGAATGCGCAACAAAGGATCTTTGACCTTCAAACCGTTTGAGGGAGAATACTTTATGATATGATTAAGAATCTCTGGCCAGAGTAAGAATGAGATTTAGGAAGTTGTTCCAAATCACATTCAAGGTAATCATATAAGTAAGAGAATCACATTGGATAGTAAACATGAATAAACTATCAAACCAAACAATGTGGTCAAGAGTATTGTATTAGAGAAAGACCATATTGCATTGTAATCCTAAACTAAATAGGTTCTCCACCTCTTTTGATTAGTTTAGGTAGCCATGACATATTGCTAGCTGTCACTCATGGTTTGTGGAAGCCCTAAAGGTGAGTAATCACTAAATGGAGAATTGAAAGTATGTTTCAATTCACAATCGACCGTTAAGAGTAACAATCGCCCATTGCCTCGCTAAAAAGAACCTAATGGATTGTAAACTGTGTAAGGTAGAGATTGAAGAAACAATGGAGTTGAGTAAAAACAATTGAATGGTTTAATTGTTTATGGCTAGGATTAATTAATATGTTAATTAATCAAACGAATAAGTTTGTTTTACACCTTGGGTTAGTTTTGGGCCTCAAGGTTCAATGGGCTTCGAATGTCAAGCCCATTGACTTAAAGTTGTATGACAACTTAATGAATAAAGATTCAAGAGGGCCCAAATAGCCCAATGACCATAGAAGGCCGGCCATATAGAGAGTGTATGGGTTTTGGTTCTTTAGGTCACTTAATTGAAGGGACTATATAAAGAACTTTATAGCCAAAATTCATGAAGGGTTTCTTTTGGAGAAAAGATGAGAACACAATGCTCTCATTTTTCTCTCTAAGAGGTTGGCCACCCTAGGAAGGTTTTACTAGCATCTAAATCTTCCTAGGTCACTCACCTCCTCATCAATGCTCTCCTTGGTGTGGAGACTTAGAGGTTCTCTATTTTGGGAACTTGGAGAATCCATTCTACCATCCTCATCCAAGAAATCCATGGAGCTAAGAAGTAAGGAATGAAGGCCCTATCTCTTGGGTGATTAGCCTTTGCTTATGCAAAGAAGAATCAACAAAGGTATAATATTTCTCAACTCACTTTGTTCTTGAGTTGAGTCTTTGTTCACCACACACAATAGGCCTTGAATTTCATGGGTAAAGTTTTGTTTTTGAGTGCATCCAAGCATGATTCCGCCTTTAATTGTTAATTGCATGTTGTAGATGTTGCTCAAATGAACTTGTTTTCACAAATATTTCCTTTACTATTCACTTTACTCTTTATTTTGTCCTTATTATTAAAACTCAAAGTTTTCAAGTTCTTTTCATTAGTTTTCCTTAAATCAAAAGCCAATTCTCGATTAAATCAAAATCCATCTCAAAATCAAAATTCAATGCAAAATCAAAACCCAAATGAAATAAAAAACAAAGATGAATGACCCAAGCCACTGTCGTCCCAATCCAAGACCTTCGCCAACGTCTTCATTGCCATTTTGGGTGTTGGCGTCTTTGGCCTTCCAAATTCTTTCAAGTGCATTGGGTGGCTCATGAGCCTCCTCACGTAGCTCCTCATCGTGTTCCTTACGAGCCACTGGCTTCACAAAGATCTCGTGTTTTGGGAAGTTGGGTTTCCACGAAAACCATTGGTGGCGATGCAAGTGTATTGTCAATCATGTGAAGGAGACAAGTTCGAGGTTGAAGCGATGCACGATCTTAGCCAGTCTCGTTCTTTTCGAGGTTCTTGTTAAGACCTTCTAGCGAAGGTTTTAGTTGAGCTGAGTCCTCTATAATCTCATTAAACTTAGTCAAGCACGAAACAAACATGAGACTGCTGTAATAAGTAGTATAATCCAGTCCAATCTAGTTTAAAGTTCATGAAAGCAAACAAACACACCCTAAGTTTATTTCTTGCGGTTGTGCTTTGTGTCACTGACAAACTTATAACTAGCTGACTAGCTCATTTGATTAGTCTGCTGCGTAGTTAGCATCTTTAGTTGTATGATATTCCACTTGACACAAAATTTTAATTTTTGAACGAGTTTATAATGAGAAATGATAAATACAAACTATTTTAATCTCACACACTAATGTTTAATTATATCCGTTATTTTTGGTTTATTTATTTAATTCGATGGTGATTAATATTTGGTATTGTTGTGCTTTAAAAAAAAACTGCTTCTGTTGTACTATGAGAATAAGCTTATTTTTGCTGCTTCACATTTTCAGTTTTCATCCAAAATTGTGAACATAAGTTATTTTTAAGTGTTTATCAAACATCTTTTTAAACTCAATTTTTTTATTCTCAATTTTTATAAAAACACCTCAATAACAAACCAGTTTTAAATGTAACGTGTGAAAATCGCTCGCTTTATAATCTCTTAGTGAGTAGACTCACCGACAAAGGTGCGCGTCATGACAGCAAAACCAGTCCCAAACTGACACGACAGCAAAACCAGACATAAATCGCAACCGAAAAAAGGATAATCACCGCCCAAAAGTTTAAAGATAAGATTCCCATCTCCCAAATATAACAGATGATCATTATACTCAGAAAGTAGCAGAGGTGGTGGGCAGGAGGAAGATAAGATTCTCATCTCCCAGAAACTACACAAAAATGAGCTGGTGGTGGGCAGGAGCCATTGGAGCTGCAAAGGTAAGCACTTTCTCCACAAACCCATCCGTTTTTTCTTCCTTCAATTCTTCCAAATTAGTTTCCATGATCATTTTCTAACAAGCCTCACCGTCACCAACAGAAAACTTTTGATCCCAATGATGTGCCGCCCAAATACCAGAGCGTGGCTCTGGTTCTCGGCGTCACTGGGATAGTCGGCAATAGCCTTGCCGAGATTCTCCCCCTGGCCGACACACCCGGCGGGCCATGGAAGGTATATGGTGTAGCCCGCCGGCCTCGTCCGGCGTGGAACGCTGATCATCCTGTTGAATACATTCAGTGTGATCTCTCAGACCCTCATCAAACACATTCTCAGCTGTCCCAGCTGACCGATGTCACTCATGTATTTTATGTGACGTGGGCAAGTAAGCCCACGGAAGCTGAGAACTGTGAGGTCAACGGCAACATGTTTCGGAACTTGCTGGATGCTGTGATCTCAAATGCACCAAATCTGCAGCACATATGCTTGCAAACGGGCCGGAAGCATTATATCGGTCCGTTTGAGATATTGGGCAAGGTCGAGCCTCATGAGCCACCGTTTCACGAAGACCTCCCGAGGCTTGACGTGCCCAATTTTTACTACACATTGGAGGACATTTTGTTTGAGGAGGTGAAGAAAAAGGAGGGTTTGACATGGTCAGTGCACAGGCCTAGCGTGATATTCGGGTTTTCGCCCTATAGCTTGATGAACATTGTGGGGAGCCTCTGCATTTATGCCGCAATATGTAAGCACGAGGGGAAGAAACTGAGGTTTACGGGGAGCAGAGGGGCGTGGAACGGGTACTGGGATGTCTCGGACGCCGACTTGATAGCCGAGCACCAGATTTGGGCAGCAGTTGATCCATATGCCAAGAATGAGGCTTTCAATTGCAGCAATGGGGATGTGGTTAAGTGGAAGCATTTGTTCAGGGTTTTGGCAGAGCAGTTCGAGCTTGATATTGAGGACGTTGGCGAGGAGGGCGGATCGGAGGCGAGCTTGGAGGAGATGATGAAAGATAAGGGGCCGGTGTGGGATGAGATTGTGAAAGAGAAGGGTCTGGTTCCTACCAAGCTGGAAGAAGTTGGTAACTGGTGGTTTGTGGATCTTATGTTTGGAGTTGAGACAAGTCTGGACAGCATGAACAAGAGCAAAGAACATGGTTTTGTGGGGTTCAGGAATTCAAAGACATCGTTTTTAACTTGGATTGACAGGATGAAATCTTACAGACTTGTTCCTTGATGCTCTTGTTACAAAATCATTGTTGTAATAGATGTTTAATAAAAAATAAAACCGGAGGATACTATACCGACAATAAGCCGGATGTAAATATAGTTTAGTGCCTCTTTATTAAACTCGAAGCGTGTTCCGGTTCTACTTGTTTTAATAAAAGGTTCTACTTGTTTTAATAAAAAAATGAAACCGGAAGATATACATGCTTGCGGTGTTAAACAAGTAGCCATGTAAAACATGTACAAACATTTCGGAGTTTTGGAAAGAAGTAGAGCCAGCTGCTCATCAGAGACCTTAACTTCAATGCATGCTCCCAATGATGCAGCAAGTCTTGCAGCTAACTGATGCGTACACTGGACAACAAGAAACATGGCAAAAATTACAACACTTCCCTACTTTTTTCGTTTTTGATTTCAAGGAACTTAAAAATGGATGAGGAAGTTCGAATAACCCTCCACGTAGTTTAGATTAGATTGATTAGAATAACGCTCGAATCAGTAGAAAAATTGGATGAGCAAGAGAGGAAGCTCCCTCACACAAAGCTGCTCTCCCTTGTTTTTGGTGTCATAGAAGAATGAATAACAAGCACAATACTGCTCGGCAAAGCAGAAGTACTCCTCCTTCCTCCGCGATTCTCCGACGACCTAACCAGACAACAGAAAATGAGAAATGGGATTTCATTTTTCACTTTACATCAAATAAATTTACGATTATTTAGCCCAAACGAACGTGATTTATTTCCAGATTTGATTTGCACGAGTGCCCAAGTTTCTTATCTTTTTGGCTAAACAAGAACATAAAACAAACAAATTTGTGCTCAAATTCAAGTAGTTTCATCCAAATTTCAAGTAATGTTCATCCAAGCTACTAAGTCTAGTGGAAAACAAAACAAGTATACAAAACAAACCCAGAATTTGATTTGCAAAAATTAAACCTGAAAGATGGAACGTCCACTGGGCTCACCCAAAACCCTCTTGACACCACTCTGATCCACTATCCTCGTTGCTCTCTCCAAGTTCTTACCAAACAAGAATTGCAGGCTGAAATTTTCCCAGTAACCAAACACTCAATAACACAAATTGGAACAATTAATTCAAACGAAATTAAACGGGAATTTGAAATCGGATGAGTACAGTCTAACACGGAGAGCTGATCGTCGGTGACTGAACGAGTTGACTCAATCGCCTTCCACACTGCCTCTGCAACCAAGCTACCTGCATTGCTCATTTTCTCACCCTTTCACTCTCTACAAAAAATGGGTCTGACGGTAGAGCTGCTTGAGGAAGCTCAGGAAATAGGGTTTGTAGTACCTAAATCTGACTCGTTCCCTAGCAAATGTTTGACAATGGCTACTGGCATTCTGCGGAGATTAAGCATCTTTTTTCACACGAACTTTTCAACTATTTTTTAGAATGACAAATTTCCCCTATAATTTTCCGAATGATGTTGGCTTATTTAACCGAATATGGAATTTTACACAAGCATCACATGAACTATCAAGCATGTGCGTCAATACTACTTGCACTTACAATTTTTTATTTTTACCACTAAACTCTCTTAAAGGTTGGAATTTACTATCTCCGTTGTTGTTAAAGCATATCAGGCACCCCTCACGTGGAGGGATATCTTTGTCAATTACTTTCTAGGGATCGCTGAAATCACTTTTTACGAAGGCAAAATGTAGTTTTTTGTAGCAGCGTCGGAGTGGTCTTGAAGAAAAGGGAGAAGTTGATTTCCGGTTCGATTTTGGCAAGAGTTGTTGAAGAATTGAGGTGAAAATTATGCAAAAATCTAGTCTTTCATTTATAGTGAGTTTTTGTGATTTTCTTATGTAGGTTAGGAAGTGGTATGTAGTTCACCTTAATTTATTCAAATATTAATTTTTCAAACTCTTATGGAGGGAATTGTCGAACTGAGATTGTACAAACCACCAATTTGGCGCCATATTGACTTAGGAAGTATTATTTTGGAGTCAATTTGATTCTAGTCAACCCCACGAAATTAATTGATGAAAATACCACTACAGGTGACATGTTTTAACGGCAAATTGGATGGAAAGTAACGTAAATGGTTGATTCCAACAGTTAAGAGAGTCCATATGGTAAAAAATGAAAATTGAAAGTTTAGGTGGTATTATCGCACATGCATACAAGTTCAAGTGATGCTTACATAAAAAAACTTAACTGAATAATTATAGAGGAAGAATGTCACATCCTGGCCCGGGCCCCCACCACATCCTGGGCTCGACTCCACCATAGCATAATATTATCCGCTTTGGGCCCCGACCACGGCTTCACGATTTTGTTTCTGGGAACTCACGCGAGCAAAACTTCCTACTGGGTCACCCATCATGGGATTGCTCTCGCTCGAACTCTCTTAACTTCGGAGTTCTGATGGAACCTGAAGCCAATGAGTTCCCAAAACGCCTCGAGTTAGGTAGAGATGAGAATATACATATAAGGGTTACAGGATCCTCACCCATGGGCAATGTGGGATGTAACAATCCATCCCCCTTAGGGGCCCGACGTCCTCGTTGGCACCCTTCCGGCTAGGGATTGGCTCTGATACCAAATTGTCACATCTCGGCCCGGGCCCCCACCACATCCCAGGCTCGACTCAACCGTAGCACGATATTGTCCGCTTTGGGCCCTGACCACGCCCTCATGGTTTTGTTTATGGGAACTCACGCGAGTAGAACTTCCCAGTGGGTCACCCAACATGGGATTGCTCTCGCGTGAACTTGCTTAACTTTGGAGTTCCGATGGAACCCGAAGGCAGTGAGTTCCCAAAAGGCCTCGAGCTAGGTAGAGATGGGAATATACATATAAGGTTTATAGGATCCTCACCTCTGGGCGATGTGGGATGTAACAAGAAGGTTCGTGTGGCGGCAAAAGAGAAAAAAGAGAGAATTAGTGAATTTTGAGGTGTGTATTATCCCAATTTATTGTGGCTTTATTTGTAGTAGTAAGAAATGAAGAATCTTTGTCTTTCAAGTAATACATCTTAATTAGGACACTACCTAAAAGATAGTATATAATCCCATAAGGATTAGACAATCAAATTCCTAACTAGATTAGGATTGCAAACATTTTCTCTTAGTGTGTAAATACTCAAACAAAATGTCGCATTAGGTCTTCAGCTATAAAGTAAAAATAGTTGATGAAGTCGTCGGCACAATGAGGGAGTGAGAGTCTCAAAACAAATGGAAGAATGCATAAGTAGTAGAACTCACAAAACTTCGCTATAGTAAAACCATGTGCAGGATAAAAACCCATAGTCTAAGGAGAAAAATGAGAACTTGTATTAATTCAAAACTAAACGCCTTCAGGACGCAAGTAAAACACACATAAGGGTATGACCATTCCAGAATGGGTGCCTCGTTAAAACCTCGTTGTGAGACAATGATTTTCCAAGGTTGGAGTAAGGCGGATTAGAATACTTATACCTCAAAAGTCCAGTCATATACTCAATAGCCTCTAATTCAGAGATAAATAAACAGATCAATGATGCCACCATAATCCTGTTTCGGAATTAGTGGGCGAAGTTTGACAACTTTGCTAACATTGACCATGCTTGTTCTGCAAAATGAGAAAACCTACTTCGGTAAGGAATCAACAGGTTTCCAATAATTTTGGAGTTCGTACAATTTAAGGATTGACGTGCATCACAAGTAATCACACTCCTAAGAGGATGCAATATCTGTCCCTAGATATCTTCTGGGATTCTGCTAGTTTAATAAGGTTTCTACTATTCTAAGGGTCTTATATCCTCGATTGGTATAAATATACTCTCCTAGAGTTTATCTTTGGTAACACAATTATCGAACACTTATTCTCTTACCCACTGCTTTGTTAGGATATGAGTAGGCTGGGAAAGATGAGCCGGCAATGAGGGTTGCAACACCCTTATTAAGATGCATGGTAACAGGAGAAAATTTTACTGAAATGATGAAAGTTTTTTAAGAGATTAAGATATGTAAGTGCACCCCCGACATAATTACTTGTAACACACTTTTGGCTGTGTTTGGCTAAAACAGGATGAACTCGGAAGTTTCAGGAGTATTCTGGGTGATGAAGAGAGTAGGGTTTATAAACGGGAGGGATACTTTCAACACTCTAATCAGTGCATACAATCAGTGTGGTTCTTTGACCAAGCTATGGGTGTGTATCAGAGAATGTTAGAAGTTGGTGTTACTCCAGACCTCTTTTTTTATAATGTTGTTTTGATAGCACTGGCTCGAGATTGGCTTTGGCAACAGTCTCAGAAAATACTTGCCGAAATGCAAAATGGCCCATTCACTGCAAATCCAATGAGCTTACATATAATGGCAAGGAAATTGAGCGCATGCATATTCTTGGTGAAGAAATATACTTTGGTATAACTCAGCCCCACATTGTTCTCTTGAAGACACTTGTTCTCGTTTTTTTTTAGTAAGAGTGACCTCTTGATGGAAACAGAACATGTCTTTTGGAGCTGAGAAGAAAAGGGTTTTCACCTGACATAACTACCTTGAATGCGATGCTATTAGTATATGGTCAGGGGCAGATGTTTTCGAAGACAAGTGAGATTTTGAAATTTATGAACGAGATGGGGTATACTCCTAGCTTGACAACTTACAATAGTTTGATGTATATATACAGTCGCTCAGAAGATTTTGAGAAATCAGAACAGTTTCTAAGTGAGATAATGGAGAAGGGACAAAGCTTGATATAATTTCGTACAACACTGTCATTTTTTGCCTATTGTAGAAAAGGTTGTATGAGAGAGGCTTCACAGATATTCTCATATATGAGGAATGTTGGGATTTCTCCAAATGTGATCACTTACAACACCTTTGTGGAAAGTTATGCATCTGATTCATTGTTTGAGGAATATGATTCTATCGAATTTTATTTGAAATCTCATTGTTTGAGGAAAGTTATGCATCTGATTCATTGTACTCATCTCATATTCAATAGAATCATATTCCAAAGCATATGAATATCTGATTCAATGTAAATATTGTGTCTTATTTACTTTATAGGTACTCATGTTATTCCAAAGCATATGAATATCTGATTCATTGTTTGAGGTTTCCAGTGACATATAAAGTAAATAAGACACAATATTTACGAGGTTCGGCAAGTGTACCTATGTCCTCAAAGCAGTATTAATAACTTCTTTTATTATCTGAAATAACATGAGTACAAATATAACTCTAACTATCGTTATCTCTTCTTTCTAGCTTTGATATAGTTGCTAGCTCGATCTCTCAAATAGATGATGGGAATTGAAGAGAGAATTGAGGATAAGAAAGGAGTAGAATTGACAAACTCCAAGGTTTTTGTGTGTGCTTTGGTTGTGCGTTTACAAATGAGCTCTCCACACCCATTTATAACAAATGGTGTGAAGTACAAATAAAATGACTTCTATTAATGATTGTTGTATATGAAACATCCTCCTTTTTGCTAGTGATTGTTGTAGGTAAATCATCCACCAAGACATGGTGTTCTTTGACATCATTGCATCTGTGGTAAAGAGGCCACCCATATTTACTTAAACATTTACCACTTGGTTAGTGTCAATCTTTGGTAAAAGTCTACATGTCAACTCCAAATTTTTTTGAATTACTCTTTGCTCCACACACATCGATTCATTCTCTACTTTTGATATCAAATTCCAATCGGTAACAATACATTTTATTGGTCTATTTGCCGACAAGAAGAATTTGAATATGGGGAGTAGTTTCAAACGGGTTTAATTATTCTTAGTGTTTAAAATATCAATATTTGTGAAAATATCTATATAAAAATTTGTGAAAATATCATTATTGATATTGATACTTCCCAATCGGATCTTCCTACATCTTTATATAAATGCTGGTTTATCAAGAATACGCTAGAAAGATATTTCAAATTGTTAATTCATCTCCAAAGATGGCTTAGAACGAATAGTTCGTTATTTAATAGATTTCTTTCGTTCTAATACTCCACTCGAGAGTTATCAATATTTCCCTAAGTTTTTCCTATCTAATGGAACGATATTGGATCAAAGCGGTTACTTTCGATGAAAATGGAAATTTAAAATGAAACTTTGGGGAATGTCAAACATTGGTTTAGACGAAATATAAGAATTTCTCTGATAATTAGCCGATCTGTCGGAAATATTGACGAAATCCATCTATTAAAGATGAAATTTAAGAATTTCTCAAATGTGGAGTGAAATTTAGACTTCACCCCTTCCCTTTCCATATTTTTCTCTGATTTTTTCAATTTTTGCACAAAAATATCGATCGCGTCGAAGAAATTTCAAACACTAGTTGTGTGCTAACAGATGAAAGAAATTTGGTTCTCTATCCAATGACATGTGTACTTGTATGGAATCATCCTGACTTCATTTGCGTTTATTAATACAGGCGAAATTGGAGTTATTAGAT